GGGTCATTGGTTTTGTTTCGCTACCACTCTCCCACCTTGAGCCTGATGACCTATCCCACCTTCATGTGTGACTGCCCTTAGGAGTTTCGATTCTTAGGCTGCATTCACCCCCTCTGAGACCATCCCACTTTTAGTGGTTCAGCGACATGACATTATCTTGTGACATATTGCTCTTCTCCTTTCAGCACTGAGGCCACTGCCTCCTGGACTTTAGGAGTGTATCAGACTACATTTCATTTTCTGCTGTTAGCTAGGATATGTATACCAGACATTTGCTTTTCTTTTGACATTATATAGCTTAGGATGCATCGCATGGACTCTGCATGGAGCTTGCTCCGCATCCTAGATTTGTCAGTTTTCTTTATTGCAGAGTTCCGCTGCTCTTGCGGATAGCGTGTTTATGGCTCTTGCGATCCATTACAGGTCTGAGGATCGTGCAGCGGACCTTCATCTGCCCTGGCCCACAGCCAGGGCCTATTTGGCTATTTGCCAGTCCGGCCTGTGGGACCAGGCCGTGGCCTGACCCCATAGGCCGTGCGGTTATTCAGTCCAGTCCAGTCCTGCCCGGTACCACTTTCGGTACCAGGCCAGTCCAGTCCAATCCAGTCAGTCCGCTGGGGGTATACCCCAGCTGCAGTCTGTTTTATGGCTCATTCTTCATTTGCACAGATTGGAGTACGTGCGTGTTGAGTCTGCGTTGGAGCTGCGCTGTCCCTTCCAGCTCCATCTCCATCTCCCCCATCCTCATCCCTTCGTCTTGATCCTGACGGACAGCCATCCCGGCGGGTCCGTCACACCTCTTCTCCTTTCTCTTCCTTTCTCCTGCTCCTACTCCTTTCTCCTCCTCCCTACTTCCAGTTTCTCTCCTCCTGCTGCAGCTCCTCCTGCTCCCCCCGCAGCTCCTACTCCTGCAGCTCCCCCTCTCCTAGTCCTCCTCCTGAACCTTCTCCACCCCCTCCTCATCCTCCTGCTTAGTATCATCATCATTGTCCCCATCATCGTCCTTGTCGTCTTCCTCGTCATCATCATCATCCTCATCCTCATCCTCATCATCATCATCATCATTCATCATTCATCATCATCACCATGAAACTTCCCTTCTCGTCCTTCACCCCCTCATCTCCCCACAATGACATGATTGGCCGTCTGACGCGAGCATTGTGGGAGAAGGGGGGTGAAGGACGAGGACAGGAGGACTTGCCACGCCGGAAATGATGTCATCTTATGATCAGAACGATAAAACTGGGAAACAAAGCCAGATCCTTTTTTCTTGTTGTTTGAAACATCACACACGGCCCGCCTTCCTAATCTGGGTGGTAGGGGTCCCGCTGCGGCGCTGCGTAATCCCGAGCGAGTGTACACCGTACAGAGCAATACAGTTAGTCGTGAGAAAAAGGGTACGGGAAAGAGAAAACAAAAGGCAGCGGGCGAAAACCCGGAGAGCCTATAGGGGGGAGGGAGGGCATTTCAATGTGAACTTCCACCAAAGAGGAGTTAGGAGAGGGGGGGACAAGATAAAATTGACTTTTTGCTGTGTCTTTTTGTTCTTTTTCTTTTTTTCGCTCGTTGCCCCGATCTAGTGGTGGGGATTTTTCATAATTTCTCTGTGCTGACTACTGATCTGCGGACGATAGACAAAATTATGGTGAAGGAAATGAGATCGGGATGATATTCGAACGCGGGAGGGAGGGAGGACAAGGCGGAGGAAATGCAAAAGAAACCAGATGAGGATAGGTAATAGGAGGATGATAAGGGAGAGGAGGAGAAGGAATGGCCGCAATGGCGGATGGATGACGCTTGATGATGACAAGATGAAATGATGATGGCGATGCTGAGGATCAGGAGGAGGAGTGGAGGTGGATGACAATGGGGAGGAGAGGGTGGAGAAGAGACAAATAGAACGGAAGAAGAGGTGTGGCAGGAGAAGACAGAGGGTGGAGTTTTTTGTTTGTGGAGAGAGAGAGAGAGAGAGAGAGAGAGCACTTCTCTCTCTCTCTCTCTCTCTCTCTCTCTCTCTCTCTCTCTCTCTCTCTCCCTCTCTGGGAGTACGGACTCTACTGAGGCAGATATGATGGGGGGACCGACGTCCGGAAAATGATCTCTCTCTCTCTCTCTCTCTCTCTCTCTCTCTCTGTCTGGGAGTACGGACTCTACTGAGGCAGATATGATGGGGGGACCGACGTCCGGAAGATGATCTCTCTCTCTCTCTCTCTCTCTCTCTCTCTCTCTCTCTCTTTCTGGTGGGAGATATGATG